GCCGGCGGCGGGGGCTGTGACGGGGAAAGCAGCGAGGCCGTGAGGGGCAGGGGGAGATGTGGCGTGCTGGGAACGTGCCCTGCGCTCCGCTTTCCCCAGGGCTCTCCTCAGGGGGGACTCTGACGCTAGCGAGCCCCTCGGCCGCTCCTTCCCTCTTCGCAGCAGGTCCCTTCCAGCCCGGTGGCCGCCCCTGCCAGCAGCGGGACCGCTCCTGCCCCCGAAATCGGGAATAAACCTCTTAACACCAATGTCGCATTAAGCAGCAGGCGTTCTCTTTATTGCGGCGCGGGATGCGCGGGGGGTAGTTCCACCTGACGTGCGTGACGTAGGTTTCATCGGTCAAAGCTTACATCCCCCCCGTTACGTACGTACGCGATGGATTTCCCGGAATTACTATCCACGTTCATTGTTCCCTGGGATGAATTATCATATTTACGTAGTCTTTACACACGCGGCCCGAGTCTCCGAGGGCTTCCATGAGAGGTCTTCGCTGGTCCCTGGTGGTTCCTAGTGGTTGAATGGAAGACGCTCTCATGGAAGCGGTGTCTCGTAGCGTTCTTTTCATGAAGTCTTTTCTTCCAGATGTGGTCTTTTGTCTTCCCAGGTTCCTTGTCTTGGTGTCAATGGGTCTATCCGCTCTCCCCCAGGAGATGCCAGTCACAGCTGGGAAGCCGCATCCTCGGGTGGGTTCTTGTCTGAGGCCCCCGGTAACACCCAGACCCAGACGCAGCCCGCGAGGGCGCCCGGGCCCCGGCGCGCGGTGGGACCCCAGGGGCTCCCAGCAGACGGGTACCTGCAGCGGCCTGGGCCCCCGGCCCCCGTCCCCGCTGCTGCCGGCTGGGCTGTGCCACCAGTTTGAGGCACGCAGCAGGGTCCCCCCCGAGCTGAACATATTCCCAGTGTTTTCTCAGCGTTTCTCCCACTTGCAACCTGCCGTGCTTCCTCTTTCCTTTTGAGGCCAACCCAGAGACAAGCTCTCCTACTGCAGTAAGGACAGCAGATGGTCTTCGCCTTGCAAATCCTCCTCCCCAAACAGCATCGTGGGTCCCCGAAACACCTCGAAGCAGAGAGGGGGAGAGAAGGAGGGAGCCGCAGCCATCAACACCTGCCCCTGTAGCTCCTTTACGCCTGGGACCCGCTCCCAGCCGGTGCAGCCAGTGCCATGGAGGGAGAGGCCGATAATCAGCGGAGTGTGTTGAGCCTGATGGCTGTGTTTGAAGAGCACTGGTAAGGAGGGAGCGTCCCAGGCGCTGTGGGTGCGTTAGGGCTCCATGGGGCATGGGTTTGGATGGAAGAAACACGCTGTGGAGGTGGTTTGGAGGCTGTGGAGAAGCTGACTAGGCAATTTGCTATTCTTTAGCACTCGGATCTGCCCCGGTGTCTTCCTCCTGCTGCAGGGTCATGGAGAGAAGTCTGAAAACCTCAGTGGGATGTGACCGAGTTTGCTGGAGGTTTCTGTGCCTGGCTCAGGGTTAGGTTGTGGCATGCTTGTTCCCTCCATGCTCAGCACCTTTGCAATCGGTCTGGCTGGTGAATGCTTCTTCCCCTGCTGCTGGGGAAAAGGAGTGTAGTTTGCAAATACGTAGGCAGGAGTCTTCACTGGGAATTAACTGCTTGCGCATTTGGGATGATCTGAGCCTCAGGCACCAGCCTCAGACTATCCAGTTTGCAGCAATGTGGCTCCAAGGAAAGGGAAGAGAAAGAATCGTGTTCAGGGGGAGAGCAAGTTCCTTTAGGGCTGCATGGCAGCCCCATAAAACAGCACCTTCACTTGGAGCGTGAGCTGGGACCCGCAGACAGCGTGTGCCAGGGTCGGAGCGAGGGGATCTGCCTTGCCCCTGGTGTAGAAGTTATTCTGAGGTTTGGGGTGAGTCATCGTTGTGATCCGTGCCTCAGTTTCCCCATCTGTTGCACTGGGATACCCACTCTTGCCTTTCCTTGTATCAGTGAGGTGCTCTCAGTGAGCCTTCATGAGGCTGGGTGGTTGGGCAGGTGAGTTTTGCAGCACTTCCTAAAGATGGTCAGGCACAAGATTTCCTTCTGCTCCAGGAGCTTCGCCTGCATCTCCGCTGCGTGCTTTGCTCTGGGCTTTGGGCTCTGGATGGCTCCAGAGCAGCGTGGTTGTCCCCATGATCCCACAGTTGAAATTTGGCCTGTGATGTTGTTGCGTTGGAACCGTTTGCGGCGTTTGATCTGCCTCCATTTCGCTGCTGCAGTGTGTTTGTTGTTTATTGTGAAGCGTGACTTTGACTTAGAGGAAATAAAAGTAACTTAACGACTTTCGGAGGAAGCTGGGGGACCTGGAAACAAGTTTTCTGGAACAGAAAACAGTTTAGCCCAAGTCAGCACAAATAGAAAGAGAGAAGTTCCCTGTTGGATCTCGGCAGTGGGTTTAGGCTGGCACAGGTCTGGGAGGCACCGGGAGGGACAGACAAAGCCTCTCTGTCACGTGAAGGGTTGCGCCAGCCCCCACGGACAGGAGGGGATGTTTGCATGGCTGTGGATGCACTCCTGAGCTCACAGACGTGCTTATCAGTGTGGGGATGGACCCATCATCCTCTTCAGATCAGTGTCTGCCACTCAAGTCATCTCCTGTCCTCAACTTCACCATTTTATGTCCAGTTCCATCCCAGTTTTCCCCTCCTCCTCATCCCACTCCTGTCTACAGGCCACCAGTATATGTCTTTCCAGTTTCTGCCCAGCACAGTTTACCACAGGGATCAGCTCTCAGATGACACACAACTTGCTGTCATCTTCACGGCCTGTGCCCTGTGTGGCTTCTCCCTGATGCATACTCTGGACCTGTTTCCCTTGTCTTTGCCAGAAAAGGGAAGAGAGAAAACCACAAAAAAACTATGCCTCTGCAAAACCACCTACACAAGCCCTCCTCTTGGCTGACACCTCTTGGCTATTTGGCTTCTAAAGCCTCGTTGCCCAAGGCCGCTGGCTCCCTGCTTTGGCTCCACGGTGGCAGCAGGCAGAAAGCCAAAGCCGTACCAATGTCGCAAAGGGCAGGGCTATGCTTTGCGAAATAAATGGCTGTGGGTGGGATAAAGGGCAGAGTTGTGCTTTTCTAGAGCAGGATGGGGACTGACTGCATCAGCAGGAGGCACTGGGAGAAAGGCTGGATCCTGGCCCCCTTGGGGGATGTATGGGCTTTCAGACCCTGGTTTGTATCAGTAGGGTTGTAGCAGAGCAAAGCAGCATCAGCACTGGGGGGCTGCTGTGTCTTACCACCTTCGCTCCAGGATGGTGGCTTTAACCTGAGCCTGGGAGCTGGGTGGCCCGCGCTGTGCTGGGGGAATGGGTGAGCTGATCATACTGATTCCTCCGTGGCAGGGCCAGCAAACTTGCCTGGAGGGACAAGCAGACTCCGCACAGCCAGACTACTGCAACCAGCCAGCCCCAACAGCTTCCAGCATCCCCTGCCAGCCAGAGCCTCTCCCAGATGGCTGCCAGGCACCAAGCAAAGCAAGAAAATGAGGAGGAGGAGGAGCAGCAGGGTCAGCGGGGGCTCAGCTTCAAATGCTTCCGTTCTTTCCGACACAAAATCAGAGAGGACAACTGGAGGAGGCAGCAGGACCCAGGCCTCGAGCCTGGCAGCAAGGTAAGCTCTGGAGGCGGCTCAGGCGAGGCTGGCAAGTGCCCACGCTCAGGCAGGGAGTCGCGTGGGCTGGATCTGAGCTGAGGTCTTTGCTGGACCTGAGCAAGTCCCTGCCCTGCAAGGGCCGGTGCGTGGGGTGACAGAGAAGTGGCACCTTCCCTGATGCTTCAGGCACAAATTTCCCATAGTCAGATAGATCCAAGCAGACCTTGTCTCTTCCAGCTCTGATATAACTATGCCGTGGGGGTCAGATGCGCAGGTGGGCCCAGCCAGGTCCATCCCAGGGCATCTCCAGGGCTGTGCTGCCCTTTGACGACTGCAGGCACATTTCTGCAGGACTGCGTTCAATTCCAAGGTGCAATTGTAGACCATGGGTTAACCCACCCCACCCTGCCCCACTCCTCGGGGTCGCTAGCCCTGTATTGCTCCAGGAGAAACAGGCACAGAGAAAGGGGTAACCCAGGAGGACGTGAGCCAGGCTTCCTGACAGCCCCAAAACAGCTTTGTTTTCACCCTTGTTTTCACGGCATGTTTTGTAGAGGTCCTTCCCCTGCCCTTACACAGAGCGAGGTCCAGTTTGATGCTGGGCTGTGGTCTGTGAACACTGGGGAACAGAGCTTAATCCCCTCAGGCTGGTGGGAGTCGTGTCTCTGCCCATGAGACTGAGCCCTTCTCCCCATACAGGAACCAGAGGAAAAGAAAATCGCTCTGGAGCTGCTGGAGACGGAGCAGGCTTACGTCAACCGCCTCCACCTTCTCGACCAGGTGAGCTGGGGAGCAGAGGGGCCCACGCAAGTCTGGGAAGCAATAGCCCTGCTGCTGTCTGCCCCCACCAGCACAGCTTGGCCACCCCATGCTGACAAACCAGGCAGGACCACGACGCAGCTCCACACTCACCAATTTTCATGTGCTCCTCGGCAGGGCTTGGACCCTGTGGCAGTGCCTGGGCTCAGTTCAGGGCATGCACAGGCCAGGGACTGTTTACTGGAGATTTTGGAGAGAATGAAGCTGTACAGATGAGAGCCACGCTGGGCTGCTGGTCTTCAAGGCCGGAGAATGGGTCTGGCCTTTGCCCTTCCTACACCCCACACCTCCAGGGAGCACCTTTGTCCCAGCAAAGCCTTCCGTCCCCCCTGCTTCTCTCCTGGGGCCTGGGATTTCCCTCCTGCACAGAGTCAGGCCTTTTCACTGGTTGATGTGCCAGTCTCAGAGAGGGAATGGGATCCTCAAGCCTCTTCCTGACCCTCTTTATTCACCCCTTCTTTCTTCCAGATATTCTATACAGAGCTGATGAAAGAAGCCAAAAATGGGAAGACAGTCCCAGAGGAGGTGGTGAAAATGATCTTCTCCAACATCTCCTCCATCTACCAGTTCCACGCCAAGTTCTTCCTGCCAGAGCTGCAGAAGCGCATGGAGGACTGGTGAGCTGCAGGAGGGGAAGGCAGGGCGCCTGGGTTGCTTTGCCAGAATGGGGGAGCAGTGGTGGATTTGGTCTCCCAACAGGACCAGGGAGCACAGTCTGTTTTGCTCTGAATGTCTTTGTGCTGGAAAGCACTTCCTTAAAACACTCCAGCCCGCATCAGGGTATTTCTGAAAAGGGGGGTGACATCTCAGGTGGTGTAGGGGTGTGCCCAGGCATGAACGGCCCAGGCTGGCTGCAAGCTGGGCACATTCCTGTTCTGGAGAGCAGGAAGCTGTATGGGGACGTAGCAGGTCACAGCAGTAAAAACCTCTGTCCCCCACCATGCACGAGCCACCCCTTCGCTTTATCCCTCGCTGTCTGTCTGCCTCACTGGACTGAGGAAGCTGCTGGCCTGCGGTTCCCTCCCACAGGAGCTGCAACCCGCGGATCGGGGATGTGATCCAGAAGCTTGCACCATTCCTGAAGATGTACGGTGAATACGTTAAAAACTTCGACAAGGCCGTGGAGCTCATCACCGTCTGGTCGGAGAAATCCCCGCCCTTCCAGGAGCTCATTGCTGACATCCAGGTAATGGGCCACAGCAGGGTGGGGGACCGCAGCAATGCTCCCCAAAATCTCCCTGAAAGGGAGAAGCAGCGGAGGGTGGGAGCTGCCGTGATCACTGGTTCTCTCTCCTCCCCAGAAGAGGAAGGTCTGCGCTAACCTAACGCTGCAGCACCACATGCTGGAACCTGTGCAGAGGATCCCGCGCTACGAACTCCTCCTGAAAGACTATGTCCGAAAACTACCGCCCGAGTCCCCAGACCGGGACGATGCAGAGAGTAAGGGCTCTGTCTGGCTCTCCCCGCTGTGGGGAGCAGCAGGGTGGGTTTGTAGGGGAAATAACAAACTCTGGTGTTGTACACGGACATCAGGATACCCGGATTCTCTCACCAGCTGCACTGTACCCTTGGATAAACCTCTCAGTCCGACCCTTTTCTAGCAGGGAGAGGGATTAATCTGCCCTTTCAGGGTCTATGGAGATCAGTGGGGAAGGTAGGTGGTGTTTCAGGATAAGGATGATCCCACCAGAGCATCCCCCAGGGAGACCTGCACTGACCGGGGGAGCTATCAGACCCCTACGGATCACAGCAGCTCCCAGTCCTGCTGGGATGGAGTGACAAACGAGCGGCTGGCTGTCCCCGCAGGACCCGACTGCGCCACGCTGCACAGTCCAGCCGGACCCAGGCGCTTGCACAGCGTTCAGGGCCGTTCAGGCGGTGTCCAGGGGAGGGCAGCAGCCACCACACGCGTGTCCCCCGTGAGGGAAGGGACCCAGGGGTTTTCTCCCACAGCTCCCTAGCAAGTGTTTAACCTCCACCCTTTCTCTTCTCGTTGCAGAGGCCCTGGAGATGATTTTCATGGTGGCCAAGCACTCAAATGCAGCTATCGCCGAGATGGTGAGTGCCTGTCCCAGCTGGCAGTGCTTTGCGGCTCACGGCACAGCGATTTGCCAGATTTCGTCATGGCCTCGCTGCTGTGTGACTGAGTGGAGCACAGCCCTGCCCTGAATGGGACAGGAGCACTGGGGGTTCAGCCGAGGAGGTTAGCCTGCTCTTGGACTGAGTGGAGCACAGCCCTGCCCTGAATGGGACAGGAGCACTGGGGGCTCAGCAGAGGAGGTTAGACCCTGCTCTTGATGCCTGACCCCGTCACCCCAAACCTGGGGAAGTCATGTCTGCAACATCAGCCGTGATGTGACCGGCTGTTTCCAGGCTGGGAGCTGCTTCGAAGATCAGTCTGGGGTGAGAGAGCTGTGCCACCTCCCCTGGTACTCAGCAGCTGGCGTGGGAGGGGGGGATGGAGGGGACCCAGGGATGACAAGGTTGTGGCTGCTGAGCTCCCCACAGAAACAGATCCTTCTGCCTCCCCCAGGAACGGCTGCAGAACCTCTGGGCGGTCTATCAGCGGCTGGGCCTCGAGGACGACATTGTGGATCCCTCCAACGAGCTGATCAAGGAGGGGCCAGTCCAAAAAATCTCTGCCCGCAACAACAGCACATCGGAGAAGTACCTGTTCCTGGTGGGAGCTGGGATGTCCAGGGGAAGGGGCAGGGAGCAGATAGGATAGGAATGGGGAGAGGGGCAGCACACCCTGGCCGGGGTGTTGCTGGGTCATCTCCACACAGAGGGGACGAATGCAGAGCTGGGGGGTTTGAGCCACCCAGTGCAGGGCACCCTGTACAGGACGTGGTTGGGAACCTGCTCATCCCCTGGGCACGGCAGCCCTTGGCAGATGTCACGCTCCCAGAGCGCTTCACCTTTGCAGGGTGGGAGAGGGCTCGGGCAGCAGCAGTTGCTTTTTAGGCTGGATTCTTCCCAAGGAGCAGCTCAGCCCAGGGGGGTGAAGGACCCTAGATCCCAGGGAAGCCCCCAGCTCTGAGCAGACAGGCGCTGGGCTCCAACCAACCCTCTCCTCCTCCCCCCTGCCCAGTTCAACAACATGCTGCTGTACTGCGTGCCCAGGGTCATCCAGGTGGGTGCTGAGTTCCAGGTCCACCTCCGCATCGACGTGGACGGCATGAAGGTCAGACAGGCACTTTGTCTTTGTGCTTCCCCCAAACCCTGGCTCCCCAAAAATGCACCCTGCTCTGGGGTGTATTGTGGCTGCTGGCCCGCACCTCCTCGGAAAGGAAGGAGGAGCTGGAGCCAGGGGTGGCTTTGTGGGTGAGGAGGACTGGTTGATATGCTCTAATCCTGTGAGATTGCAGTGCAGCCTCGTGCACGTAGGATTTGAGGGGCTGAAGGGCTTGTGCCCAAGGGAAATCCCTGTCCCCCACATCACAGAGGAAGGTCCCTGTGTGCTGGACGTGGGTTCAGCTGCTCCACATCCTTTCTTTGGTCTCTCTCAGGTGCGGGAGCTGAACGACACGCAATTCCCTCACACCTTCCTGGTCTCGGGAAAGCAGCGGACGCTGGAGCTGCAAGCCAGGTAAGGGGAAGGGTGACGGTCCCGCAGACCCTCGGGGAGGAGGGACAATGGCTTATCCATCTCCCTTTTTGTACCCAGGTCTGGGGAGGAGATGAACGCCTGGATCAAGGTACCACTGAGTGCTGGGAGCGGCAGCACGTCTCACTCACCTCAGCTGGATGCCCTGTGTCAGGGGCAGCCCCCCCGCTGGCCCCCCCCCCCCCCCGCCGGGGGCCCCCCCCCGGCCGCCCCCCCCAGCCCCTCGGCTGCCCCTCCAGCCCTGCCTTCCCCTCTAGGCCTTCCAAGATGCCATTGACAGGAGGGAGAAGAGGAGTGAGACCTTTAAGACAGCAGTGCACGGGCTGGAGCTGGGCACCCCTGCGTTGAAGGTAACCCTCCTGCCCTCCCTCTGTCTTGCCTGTCTCCAGCACTCCCCTGTACGGAAGCTCAGGGAGAACCCACCTTGCTGTGCCTCAGTTTCCCTAGCTAAACAGAGCTGGGGGGGAGGCTGCAGGCAGGGAGAAGGGCTAAGGAGAGGGAGGGATGAGAGCAGAGGGGCTGGGACAACCTGGACCACAGCTAGCCAGCTAGACAGCGATGCCATCTCCCACCCCCAGACAGAGGAGCTGGGCCGCCGAGCCCCACAGTGGGTGCGGGACAACCTGGTGACCATGTGCATGCGCTGCAAGGAGCCCTTCAACGCCATCATACGCCGGAGACACCACTGTCGGGCTTGTGGATACGTGAGTCGCCCCTTCCGCCCTCTCTTCTCTCCGTCCTGGCCTGCTCGGGCAGCCGCTGGGCCAGGAGTGCACCTCTCCTACACCTTGTACCCCTTTCCCTGGGCTCAGGGCTGCTCCCGCCCCTCAGCTCCCCATGGAGTTGTCCCTGGGATCCCCCAGCCCTGCCCCAGTCTCACCGGTGTCCCTGTCTGGTGGCTGTAGGTGGTGTGCGCTCGCTGTTCTGACTACAAGGCCGAGCTGCAGTATGATGGGAACCGTCTGAACCGTGTGTGCCAGGAGTGTTACGTCTTCCTGACGGGCCACGTGGTGCTCGAGGACCGGGAGGGGAAGCACAAAGGCATCCTGGAGGTGAGCTCTGCCCCTCTCTGCCATCCTCCCCATGCCCTGCTCCTCTGTCCCTCTTGCTCTGAGCTCTGCCACACACCGTGGTCCCCACCCTCGCTGTCACAGCCCGGCCATGCGCCTGCAGCAGGGGGGTGGGAGTCACTCCCGCAGCAGTCAGAGGCTGCCTGCTAATTGGGAGGCTGGTGGATGTGCTAAGCCCTCTCCCTCCTGCTCTGAGCCTTCGGACCAGGCATCCAGGGTGCTCTCCACCACGGGATCTCAGCAGGACTCTTACAGCCAGGACTGCCCCTCGCCTGCCCCTGCTTTGGGGGAGTTTTGTGCAGCAGGCAGGGAATTCCCCAGGAAATTACCTTTGCTCAGTGCCCTTTCTGCCTTCCGCACAGGGTATTTAGGGAGTTGTTTGCTGTTTTTTTGGCAGAAAGGAGCTGCAGAGGTATCGGGCAGGAGTTTGCTGTGCAGTTCCCTGCAGCTGCTGGACAAGAACGGCAAGGGGGGCACGCGGGGCTGGTTCGTGATCCCGCAGGATGATCCCCTCGTGCTGTACATCTACGCAGCCCCCCAGGTAAGGCCGAGCTCGGCTCCATCTGCAAGGGACAGCCCAGCGTGCCCGTCCCATGCCTGCCACCGCTGTGTCCGCTCTTGGCAGGACGTCCGAGCACACACCTCCATCCCGCTGCTGGGCTACCAGGTGAGGGACCTGCCCCAGGGCGACTCCCGCCACCTCTTCCAGCTGGTGCAGTCCCGGCAGGTCTACACCTTCGTGGCCGACACTGAGGAGCTGAAGCGGCGCTGGATGAGGGCCATGGCGCGCTCCGCCGCGGGGATCACGCACCCGGAGGAGGGCGAGGATGTGGACTCCTGCGACGAAGCAGAATGAGGCCGTGCCCACCTCCTGGGCTGCCTGGTAGGTCAAACCTCCCCCTGCCCGTCCTGCTCGCAGCCAGCCTCAGGCAGCTCCTCCACCTCTCTGCGCTTTGGTTTTTCATCAGGAAAAGGGCAAGGCAGCGACATGTTCGCCACCGCACGGAGAAGCCGGCTCTTCCTCTCCCTCCTTGCTCTCCGCACTGGACAGAGACGATGGAGGTACCCAAGCCATGAAGTGGAGGGAGAGCCAGGGGTTTTTGGAGAGCCAGGGGGTTTTGGGGAGCCTGCGCCCCTGCAGCCAGCCCGGCCCCGGCCCCGGCCCGCTGTGCCGTGCCGCCGGCTGCCGCCCGAGGGCAGCAATGCCTCAGCCTTCCCCCGAGCCTGGCCCGGCGCTGGATGGTGCAGGGGAGATGCCCAATTTTGTGAAAGCATCTGTGGAATTGGGACTGCTGTGATAAATCCTACCTGCAACCCCCCTGTGCGGTCTAAGGAGCCTTTTTGGGGGGGTGTATTTTCCAGAGTGCCCCATGGGGTTGCCACCAGGGCCCCACATCTGTAACCAGCCCCGGTCCGACACCCTGCAGAGACCCAGCTTGTAGCTCACCCTCACCCGGCTCGGGGACTCTCGTGCTGGGTTTAGGATGTCCCTCTCCCAGCCTGTCACCGCTCCTGGCCTCCCACTGCTGCAGTCCCATGGTGTGGGGGTTCCCCTTAACCCCAGGTACCCCCAGCCTGCGTCGCGAAACCAGCCTGTGCTCCTGCCCATCCCAGAATTTCCCTGCACCCCATCCTGCCCACAAGCACCTTCCACCCTTGTACCTCTCTCGATCACCCGTTTCCTGGGGGGGAAACGCTCTGGGACAAATCCGAGTCCACATAGCTGGTGCTGCTGCGCTGGGGCAGGGCAGTGATGCTGAGGAGATGGGGCAATTCCCCTCTTCATCGTCAGCATAACGAGCACCCCTGGTCGCTTTGCCCAGCGCTGCAGGCTGCAGCCCCACGTTTCTCTCTCTTCATCCTCTTTAGCTCCCCAAAAATGTTGCCCAGGCAGAAGTTGCCCCTTCTGAGCCATGGGATGCGGGAGCCCACTGTCCCCAGCAGGCAGGGAAGGCTGTCCCTAGCAGGCAGGGATTTCTGCCTGCACCTGGATCACACAGCAGCTCCAGCCCAGCAGGCAGACGCACGGCAGCCTCGGGCAGGGCCCAGGGGTGTTACGGGCTAAACAGATCCATGGAGAGCGGGAAGGGAAGCGAGCTGGAGCCAGATGTTGCAAATGGGGACAACGCTCGGGGAGAGGATGGGGAGCAAAGATGAACCACAGCCGTCACCACTTGGGGGGCCTTGGGGAGCCAGGAAAAAGCTGTAAGCGTCATCCTCCTTCATCAGTCTGCCCAGCTCAGCTCGTCCCAGGAAAGGGCAAACTGCAGTGGCTTTATCTCCTCCAACTTAAGAGATACCATCAAGGAAGGGGGAGAGGAGCTGGATGTCCAAGGGAGAGCTCTGCCAAAGCAATTGCCCCTCGGGGTGCCACCCCGCATGGGGCTGAGCGCAGAAGCAAACACCACAGGGGTTTCCAGAGACACCCCAAAACCACCCTCACCTCCCGCCATCGCCTCATGTGAAGGGGAAACCCCAGCACCCCTGAAAAAGCCGGGGAGCGCAGGGTGCCGCTGGGGGGAAAGAGCGAGTAAGGGGAAGCCCACAGGGCTGGAAGGATCTGCGTGGTGGCCTTCCGCCTCGGCGTCACCCCGGTGTCAGCAAGGAACAAAACAAGCCTGGAGCGGGGAGCTGCCATCAGCCTGCAGCTCATGAATGGGCCTAAGAATAGATTTCCTGTTTACCGACCAAGAAATCACTTCTGGGGCAGAGGGCACCTGGGTGCTATTTTTACCAGACCCGCCCGCCCCTCTCCTGGCTCCCCGCCGCCCTCGGGGACCGCTGCCCCACTGCAGCATCCACCTGTGCCGGGGAAAGGGGCTGCCGAGGGACGGAGGGGTGATGGGGCGCCGGGGCGGGTTATTGCCGCGGCCTCGGCATCACGCCGGCCCTGAAGGATGCTGCTGGGAGACGGCATCGCTCGGCTGCCCTGAGCATCCCCAAAACCGGCTGGTGGGAGACCTAACTCATGGGATTTCGTGATTCCCCCACTCTGCTTACCCAGACAAAAAAAGATTTTTTTTTTTGCACCCAAGACGTGCAGCGAACGCACTGATCAATTTTTCTCTTCCCGTGCTTTTTCGGTCCCCTGGCTGCGTCACAGCGATGGTCAAGCGGAGCAGTTTGGCCTCTCGCCTCCCTGCACAAAAGCGAAACCCCGTGGAGAAGTCACACAGTTTCCTATTCTTGAGAATGAGGAAGGCTCGGAGGCCATTTACTGGAAACCCCCCCCGCCGCAGCCCTCGCCGCGGCCTCTTCTTGTAAGCACTGACCAAAATACATTGTGAAACCCTCGCACCGCGGCTACGCTGGGGGCCGGGCCACCCCTCATTGAGAAAACCCAGCCCGCAGCAAAGGGGAACAGGCACCAACACAGCCGCCGCTTTGCAGAGGCTTCGTTGTCCCGTGCTCACCCCAAACCCTGGGTACCGCACCCCGATCTATCCCGTGCTGCGGGAAAGGGGACGCAGAGAGGTTCAAGGGCACGGAGCGAGCAGAGAGGTAGCCGGTGGGGACGTGGAGAAGTGTGGGGGGGTTGCAGTCGCCCCTGCGCCCCGCTGCGGGGCTGTGTGCGGTGCAATCCCCCCCTGCTCCCCGGGAAGGCGCTCGGCAGGACGCGGGGCCCATGTGCTCCATGCCCCCTATGTGCTCCTCAGGTGTGGGGTGGGATCGGGACCATATGGGCCCTATAAAACCCCACACCCCCGGCCTGCTTCTTGCCCTGGCAGCTGCTCTGCGTGCTGGGGGCTCTTGGTATATAGGGACAGGCTCTATAGGGGGGTTCTCTACAGGGTAGGCATTCCCCCTCTACAGGGATTGCTCTATAGGGCACATTCTCTTGCTTGCTAATTGCAGGTCCCTATAGGGGCTGCACTCTGCTATGTGAGATATTTTCCTGCTCTATAGGCACTTGTCTCCAGGGAGCTGCATCGCTGGGGCAATACCTCTTGCTCTACAGTGCTTGGGGTTGGGTTGTATAGGAGCTGGGCTCCATAGGGGCCAGCCTTCTGCAGCAGGGGCTCTTGCTCTATAGGTGCTGGGCTCTATAGGTGTCAAGCTCCACAGGTGCATTCCCCTGCGCCATCCCCTATAGGGCCTGTGACCCACAGGGGCTCCGCTCGCTGATGCGGAGCATGCAGCCCCGGGGGGCCGTTCCGGCAGCATCGCCCTCGCTGCAGCGCCCCCCGCCGCGCCCCCTCCGCAGCCCACGGGGGTTTCCACCGCTCCCACCGAGCGCTTTAAATAATAGATACGCCGAGGCCGAAGGCAGCCGCGGAGGAGCCCTGCGCTGGTGCACCCCTCCCTGCCCGGGGCTGCGGGGGCGCGTGGGAACCCCATCTCCCCTGAGGCTGGGTGGGGGGATTTAAGGACGGGAAACGATGCTAAATGATGCAAAATATCTGTGATCCCCCTCCCAAAAATAAAACACAGCCAGGATTGTGCAGCCTTAGAGCTGGGGTACCCCAGTTCCGCTCTGCAGCCCCCCGAGTCCCCCAGGGAGCAATGCAAAGCAGGAGGGGGACCCCGGGATCCGGCCAGCTGCACCCCCCCTTTCATTGCACTGGCAGGGTGTCGCTACCGGGGTGTCCCCAGGCTTGGGGGAGCTTTGGGGGGGCTGCAGCTTCCACCTCCTTTTCGGGGGCTCCCGCAGGCTGCCGGCAAAGGGCGTTTCGTGCAATTGAGAACCAGGTCGTGCATCTCGGCGTCTGGCGAGGCGGGAGGTGTTTCCCGGTGGCGCAGGAATTTGCTGTTTGCGCCTGTGTTGCAGGAGGCTGGGGGAAGGAAGGAGGGGGGGCGATGGTTGTTATTATTTAATTTTATTTTCTTGCCTCCATCCAGGAATCTCTGCAATGTGCCGGCTGCTCCCCAGGAGGCCTGGGGGGCCCTGGGTACCATCCT